TCATTACATACATACAAAGACACACAAATGAAAACCAATTATGCACTTACAAAGAAATCTCAATAAAAACATTGACATGAGAGAGAGTCCAACTCAAAACATCCCATTCTCAACTTAAAAACACTCAAAGGAATCAATTTACTAAGTTTACTAAGATCATCGGCTGTGAGTCTGAAGAAAAATGCAGACCAAAGAGAAATGGCCAAATGTTTGGATATTCCAGTTTGCACAGTTGGATTGATAATCTGTAAGTAAAAAACTGCATCACGCCTACCTAACACTGCCAATAGAGGTCTTACCCTCAATTCTCAGTAGTCAAATAAGGAGACCTGTGAGAAAAGCCCCAGAGAGACTCTTTCACATGTTCAGTATTGTGGCTGGAAGTGGATTTCAAAATCTAATGATCCACCGATCAATCACACCAAGAGCTCTGCATAAATCTGGCCTGCATTGAAAGGTGACATGAATTAAGCTTCTACTCCGAAAGTACCATCTGAAATCTGACCCAGCCACGATGTTGGAAAATGTTTTGTGGTCAGGAGACCAAGATATATATTTTTGACCAAAACTCAACGGGCCAATGTTTGGAGTGAACCTAACACTGCCATTGCTTAACACAGGGGTGTCCAAAGTCCGGCCCGCGGGCCAACTGCGGCCCGCGGTCCAGTTTTTATTGGCCCGCAGCAAATTCTGAAAATTTTATTGAATATGGCCCGCACAAGAAGATTGAGCTCAACTCTGTTGCACTTCTCAGTTTCAACACTAGTTGGAGCCAGCCATGGAAACGGTGCTTCTCCACTAAACAAAATTAAGCAAAGAAAAACTTTTACGGCGAGTCACCAGAAATGGCAGCACTAAAGAAACGCAAAATAGCAAGTGAGTGTAGAAGATTTCAAACACAGTGGGAAAATGAATATTTCTTCAAAGAAATCAACGTAAAGAGTATCTGTTTGATTTGCAATGAAGATGTTGCTGTGATGAAAGAGTATAATGTCCGTCAGCACTATGAGACCAAACATCAGAGCTTCACATCAGTACACCAGTGCCGAACGAACGCAGAAAGTCAAGCAAATGGCAGCTAGCCTGCAAGCTCAACAACAGGTGTTTTTTCGTGCTAACAAAGGAAAACGCCACAACAGCAAGCTATAAGGTCGCTAAACGTATGGCCCAGCACGGCAAACCGTTCTCAGACGGTGATTTCATAAAGCAGTGCCTCAAAGTCACAGCAATAATGTGCCCGGAAAAAGTTCCGGATTTCAACAACGTGAGCTTATCCAGAAATACAGTGGTGCGGAGAATCGAGGACTTGTTGTCAGCTAACTGGAAACTTCAGCTGAGAGACCAAGCTAGTGCTTTTGATTTGTACTCGATAGCATGCGATTGGTAATTGATAGGGTTAGCGATAAGAGCACAGATGCCACAGACACCGCGCAGCTGTTAATGTTTTGCGGGGAGTAGATGGTCATTTTTGCTGTACGGAGGAGCTGCATGATATGATGAGCCTAAAAGGCACAACGACGGGCAGAGATATTTTTGAAGCTGTGTCGGAGGCAGTTGGAAAGATGGGGCTTAAATGGGACAAACTCAGTGGAGAAACAACGGATGGAGCTCCGGCCATGACGGGCGTAAAACCTGTCAACATAATTCGAGCTAGAGGAAAGCACAGTTATTCACATTATAGGTGAGTTAGAAATACACACAGTATTCATGTGTTAATATGTCACCTCTAGTGTGCGGCCCGGCCCTTTGTTTATTTTTCAGTATTTGGCCCTCACTAAAAAAACTTTGGACACCCCTGGCTTAACACATGCCATCTTTAATGTGGTGGCAGGATCATGATGCGGTGATGCTTCCAATCTGCAGAAAAAGTGTAAATGTAAGAGAATGTGATATCGATGGAGCGAAATACAGAGAAATAAATCAAAAATACCTCCGTTCAGTCTGCAAAAAAACTGAAACTTTGACAGAATTTCAGGACAATGATCCCAAGGACAAAGCCGCATTGGATTGATCAATAACAAAAACATGGTTTTTCTGCAGTGGCAAACTCAAAATCCTGATCTCAATCCCAGAAAATCTATGGCATTGTGAATGTGAATATTGTTGTCCCTAAGCGTAATTCTACCAACCTGACCAACATGGTTCAGATGAATAGTCCAGAAACACCCCAACAGTGTACAAACCTGGTGCATACTTCTAAGTCAAATATTTTTATCCCCAACAAAGAACGATCTCAGCTATCACTAACGATGCATACACAAAATGGGATTAGCAATGTGTCATTACTGTTTCCTGGTGTTTGATAAAGCTGTGTCCACCATCCACAGGCTTTCTTGAAATGAGGAAATAATCGTTCCCATACTATGAAATGGTGCACCTGGAACAGTATAAAACAGGACATATTAGCAAATGGAGATTTTTAGTGAAAACACAACCCCTTCTCTCAATTTTCTTTGACCATTTGAATTGAGTCAACATTTATCTTATCCTTTGAAGGCAATCATGACGTTCCTAAAGCTGATATTGCAGAGAGCCGGTATTGAACACAGCCAAGTCATAGTGGTTGTGAATTAAAATTCTAACGATTCATATGCCCAAACATTTCATACGTCCTAATAGCTGTGTATTCTCTGTGAGTATATCTCAGAGATACTGTATATCGCAACGGCATATAAATAATATTATTAGTCTTAATGCCAGATTATATGGTCTACATTTTTATTTCCATATCCATATCAATTGCATTACATATTTATCTCATTACAGTAATTAGTTAAACTGTACTGTAAACCAAATGCTAATTAAAAACATTTAATTTAATTTTGACAACAGAATAGAAATAATAGCATACAGATAACATAAAATGACTTACGTTTTGAGTCTTGATTCTCATTGCTTAAAATCCTTATGAGGATCATTCCGGATAGAATGGCATATTTAATCAGGTTCAAATGACCTGCCATGATAGTTTACACTCAAATGAAGTCACTCTCAGAAAAGATCAAATCCAAATGTCTTCTTTTTTCAATTTAAACTGTATTTAAAAAATGTAAAAAGCACACCAGGCAATTCACCTTAGAGCTGCAGTTCTTGAAAAACACTTCCTACTTTAAAACTTATTTTAATTAGGTAAAAACACTGTTTCAAGAATTTATAGAAAATGTAATCAGAAAAATATTTATTTTTCAGTTCAAATTCCCGGTTTCGTGTTGCTGAGAGAACACACTTGAGGTAAACCTGCTGGTCTGGTATAAAGTGTCTGGCAGTGTAAGTGGTTGACTACATTGCAAAAGCACTTGATACCTTGGATTCTCTAGGTGTACATTTTGTCTGCTTTTGCCTATGCATTTAGAAGAAATTTCACATAGAAGAAATACATTTTTCTTTGTATCTCACCATTTAAGTCAAGTCTTGCTTATTTCACTTTGTGGAAAAACATTACTTTTCTACTTGAAAAAGCAATTACCTTGTTCCTGTTATGTTTTTGAACAAGAAAAATCACAGACATTCTACATGAAAGAAAAAATCCATCCTGTGTTTATAATTTAGCTATAAGGCACTGAGGGGTGTGGTAAAGGGCCATGTTTCATGGTTAAGGGGTATTTGAAAGCACAATGCATTGTGGGATGCCTGGACAGAGCACTTAGAGCAATAATTACTGATCTTATGTCATATCGGTGTAAATGGTCTCTTATAAATTGGATGGTTTATTTATTGAATTGGCTGAGAAATGAGACCCAGAGCATCTACTTTCATGGAGACATGTCAATGTCTGTAGTTTGCTAAATGTAACTGGAATTTCGTCTAGAACAGTGTTTTACTGGTCAGATATGACAAATGTAGTACTTTTTGGCAACAAAAACCAGAGATAATGGCAAAAAAGATGGATGAGCATTTCAGCAGCAGAATCAACAAAAGACAAATGCACAAAAAATGGCTTACTGAACACAGAATCAAGCTTTTGCCAAGGCAGTCCTGGCCCACTGAGCCCAACCCAAATGAAAACCTGTTCTGTGAGCTGAAGAGGAGAGTCCACGAGTGAGGACCAAGGACTCTGAAGGATCTGGAGAGATGGATGTATGGTCCCAGGTCCCTTGTCATGTGTTGCAATGTCTTACAACTCATCAGACAGTTATGAAAGTTATGAATAAAGAGAGCTCCCATTAGCTTCCTCTGAGCTGTTATGAGGGCCAGGGCAGGTTGAACCTAGAATGCAAGGAAGCCAATGAGTGTGACACCTGTTTTTAAGCAACTCTTGAATTACTTTACCTCAATTAAGAGTTGGTTTCCTCAAATTTTTCTTGTTAAACGAATACACAACAACACAGTATTTTCATTACCTCCTGACTGACTGAGTGGCAGAATAATGACAATGGGGGAACTTTATTATGCAATCAAATAAACAGTTTTATTATCCAACATTGTGCCATCTTATTATTACACTGTCCTTAGAACACAGGACTGTCTCATACATCGGCTGTTGGTTTTTGTTTCGTCCACAACACCTGTTCGTCATACAATTTCAGTGAGACGTTTTGAGTGTATTTCCTCCCTGTGTCGTCTGTCGTTTGACGCTACTGTTGGTTTAATGCACATGCATAGTGCATCACATCCAATCTGTTATATTTCTAGCGTGGTCCATTAACATTGTGCAGTAAAATGAATGTGATGAAATCCCCTTACTGCCATTGGTGCATCCGTCACTGTAGCACTGGATGTCAGACACACCTGGCAGAGCTGCTGCAGGCTGAGTGGATGCTAACACTACAATGTGATGCTATCTGAACTCACTGTTTTAACATTTATAACCAAATAATTATATTTTAAAAATATAACACCCGTTAGATAATTCATTCTCTCAATAGTAATATTGTATTTTGTAGTTATTTAAAATCCAGACCCATCTACAAATGTGTTCCCTGAGTGTGATTTTTTAAGGATGGAGTCTGTGCCAAAAGCACCCGAAACCGTTTTGCTGCTCTATCTGTAACATCTGAGAGGGGTTGGTGTATCTCATTGGTAGAGTACATGCTTTGTGTGTATGATGTCCTGGGTTCAATCCCCAGTTTGTCTCCAGGTTGCTGTTGCAAATGAGTATTTGTTCTCAATCAGCATACTTGGTGAAAAATAATTAGATCTGTAACACACACCATTGCTAACTCTCCATCGTCAGTTTTCATCTGTAAATCTCCATCTGTACCTTTGTTACCACAGCTCAGCTGACTGATGAGAATACTACATTAGAGATTCATTCAGTGTAACAGCAGGGCCTGTGCCATGCCGGTTGTTGCACAGCTATGTTCAGTGTAATTAAATTATTCTTTCAGTTACTACGTTCATTGATTTCACCTGTATCTAGTTTGGTCTCCCTACCGGAGTCTCACCTTCTCCTCAATGCCTCCTTATTCAGTCTCTCTTGTTCCCTGTCGATTTGTTGTTTCTTGTTGTAAGTACACATGTTTACGTACCACTGCGCCGGTGTTCTTCTTTACTTCACGAGATGTTACATTCTGATTATTGTAAAACAAGCATATTCATTTAAGCAGCGCAATGTTGACATCCAAACCAGCCTAGTGAAACTGTCAAGTAAAACCAACTCAAGTCTAATGACTCCGCAGTATGTGTGACAGTACTACAGCAGAACAAGTGAATTAAAATCTTTAGAAGCAATAATTACATCTTACACATCAGTTTAAATGAAAATACTGTCTGTCGGGATGGGAATTTTCTTTCCTTTAGTATTTAACTATTTTATTAGGAAATGTGGTTATTGAAACAGTCACACATTTATGTACATTTTGTCTGTAATGGGACTTGAGGTTGCCATGAACTGCTCCTGCAATTAAAATGAAAAGATGTTTTCATAAGCCGGATTACCACAAGGAGAATGTCAAATTTGTTCTTCCAACTAGGGATAGACATGAATCCCTAAAATGTCTAAGGCACGGCCAATCACACGATGAATCAATATATGCTTAACCTGAACTACAATTCAATCCTGTGGTTTCTTAGAGAGACTCTGCTTCTGTACTTTAAAATGCATATCAATAATAACTTATTGGCAAGACAAAGAAGTTGTATTAAAATGGGACGGCCATTGTTGACATTGGTAATTGGCTGTTTCATTTCAGTTGATTTTAAAGGCAATGTTTGACTGTACCGACCTATATGGACTTCATCGTGAATGGTGATCTCTGTGAGCATTGCTTTTAAATGCTCAAATGCCTTTGAACGGAGTCTATACCTAACACGTTTTTGATGAACATTTTCTTATTTCCAGAAACCAGCTGAGCAACTCATGCTGCTCTGTTACATAAAGTAGCCAGCCAAAGTCTGTGTCGAGTTTGACATTGATTTGAGTGGCGGGCTGTCATTCAAATCAAGTTCTACCCATTTCTGTACAGATCCTATTTTCTAAGAGTGCATGCACGTAAAATGCTCATACTATATTTGGTTTATGTGGTACTATGAGTGGTAAAATAAAAACACGTTTTATACACACAGAGCATAATTGTGTGTAAATGAATTACACAAACGACCTTCAGCACACACTTTGTCCCAGTATATTGACAGTCCAACAGTGAATTACTGTTTCCCACAGCAGTGTTTCTGTGTTTACAACGATTCAGGTTGGACTTCTGCCACAGTCTCGCGGTTTCTTAGTTAGGCTTTTCTGTCATAAAGTAATTCTGTAGAAAATTGCTTTCATGCTATGGCTCCCATCCTTGTACTTCAGTCTTCACTTCGTAGAGTGTAATTGGCTTGATTCACCACCACAGTAACCTGTTTTCCAATTCCCCGAACCAGGCTTTAGGATTGCTTGAAACACGAGTAGCCTGACGCACTACCGACGCTGGAGTCAACTTCAGAAGCCCCTAATCACAAACGCTTCAGTTAGCATTCAGAGCTCACTGTTGCCTGTGTCGTCTAGAGTGGGTGTCGTGCCCCTCGGCAGATTGAGCAAGGCACTTGAGCACCACACTCGACAAACCGCTGATGTAACTGCATAACATTACCGCGCAGGCAGTGACTTCATTTCAGTCCATCAAGCCGAGTTGTTTGCAGAAGCTTGTTGTTGTTCTTCATGGTGCCCGGTTTCTCTTACGGAGACGCATAACGCTCCCGGTTGGGCTACTGTGCACTACTGAATCGTGTTGTTCAGAAAGCAACATGCACGGTCTGCACATTACAACTGGTGTTTACCCGCCTCGGTAATACACTGTTACCACAGAAACCCTATAAGACACCCTGCTGACTGCTCTGTGCTGTTTGTCAGAATATAATGACAGTCAAAGCTTCATAGTGACTATTGAAATCCTAGGTGTAGGATGTCAATTAGGTGTATGGTGTTAAAAGGATAAAACACCTTTGAGGTCAGGAAACACTGCTTAAACAGGTGAATTGTAAAACTGATAATAATTGCCACAGGTTTCCCCTTCTGTTTACAACAACAGGATTTGAGCCTTGAAATATGGAACAATTACATTGTATTATGGAATATACATTTTTGTGATAACCACTTGGATCTCTGGCCAGAGGTTAACAGCATCAGTCCAGCACTGATGAGATCCAACCCACTCTCATTAGAAAAATAAAATGGCAAGCATAGCCCCGTGATGTGATTTGGGATCTTAGAATGCCAGCTAAATGTAAGCGCTGTATAATTGAACATTCTGATGGCTTTCATGTCCATGGTCTCAACACCTTTGTCACCCTGAAAGTATTTCCAAACAGCGCGCAGCTTCTGTTCCCAAGCTAATCAAAACATATTGATTTGTTTGTCTTTGTATTTCCACCATCAAGGCCTGCATTTGACAATAAGACACAGAGAGGAGAATTTTGTTTGGATACGTTTCATGACGGATAAAAAAAAAGAAAACAGGTGAGGGATTACAAATATAGACATTTGTATTTTTGTAAGCTTGACTGCCAGATAGTGAATGGTCAGATACTAGTATAGGTTAGCGTAGAGGGAGTGAAACGTACTGGGAACATGTCAATTTATTTAATAAACTAACATTTTACGCACATAAGATATATAGCATCCGAAGATACAATTGCTACAGGAAGCCAGCATTGTCTTTGTCATAGTATTGGTATTCCACATAACCCTTCCCTTATTATGGGGGCATAACAGAAACCTTAAGTGACTGTAAACGCTATACAAACCAAAACCTTCTCTAGAATCATAAAAGACAAGCCCTGGGTTTGAGTATTTGGTCAGTTAACCATCAATACAAACTATTCACTCTTTTTCCAAAAACACGCTGCAACCTTAACGTCTGTAGTTGTGCTGACCTCAGGAAATAATAAAAAAACAGATTAGATCTTTCTTAAGAACGGCTGCTACATCAGGTCAGCCCATTAAAACGTTTTTGATTTAACCCTGAATTCTGATTGGCTGAAATCTGTGGTATATCAGATGGTATACTACCGGTTCAACAAAGACAATAAGAGTCATAAGGCGCGTTGTGAGTTTGTGGTAAGTCACCAAAACTCCATGATCACGGTCTGTATCCAGGCTCTGAGATGAAACAAGCCTCAGAGCAGCCGTTATCGATGGGGTATATTTCTCAATACACGACACCTATGCTTGCCTTATTCCGTCGGTAGAATAATAATTCTCAAACATTTTCACGCTTTTAGATTCCTACAGAATAACCGTTGTGCTTTTACTCTCCAAATATAAAACATTTACCTGTACCTACATGGGTTCAATTCAGCAGTCTGCAATAAAAAGAACAAACTGTGACAGAAGGCCAATAGGTTCTCACACATGGAAATAAATAAATAATTGTAAGCCTTTCTATAATCAAATCGTAATACCCACAGAAACCAATTAATGCATGTATAAATATCCACAACAAAGTCAGATATACATTTGTTTATGTTCCTTATTTAACAAGAGCCATACAAAAATAACCGGAACAAGATATACAGTACATAACAATTCACTTTGAATGTGCATAAAATAGTTATTTTGATCAGGTGACTAAACTGTACATGACAGCAAAATGTCTAACTCATGTACATTCTGGAGATGCTCTGACTGTTGACAAAGACAGGATCCACAGAGGCCACTTTGGCGGCAATAAAGGAATGAATACAATGTAGCACTGCCGTCAGATTGGAAAACTCCAGCTCCTGCAATGAAAAAACAAAGACCCTAAATAAAACTGCTGAGAAATATTTTTAACTGTCTGCATAACATTTACATAATTAAGTAAGAAGTAGCCAATCGTGTTAGAAAAGAACACTTGGGGAGGTTCCCCACATGACATTTTACAGAAACTGTATTTGTATGATTTGAAAGTGACTGCAAACATTCTGCTAGAGCACCAGTTAAGAGGCCAGTGAGGTGTAACATTCCACTGTACCTTCATTTCAATTTGACTGTTTTCAACATTCTTGAAGAGGAGTTTCACCCTGGTTTTGCCATCATCAGACGAGCCTTTCAGCTGAGAGAATTTGTATCTCCATAGCATGCTCTACGGGAATAAAAGCAAAAGATCTAGCAAGTAATGGCTTCTTACACCTGTCCTTGAATCAACGGTTTAGAGAATAACAACTGCAGCATAGAAAACGACCCCCTACTGTGGGACTAGTCAATAAAACACTGACCCGTGAGGAGGTCTCTGAACAGGTGAAGCCGGACCCAAAGTCTATGGTGAAACATAGTACTTTACCCTGGCTGCTGCACATGTAGGTCTTTGACTGTTGAGAGAGAAACATTGTGATTCAGAAGTACAATCGGGCTTTTACACAGACACATTCTGTCATGAAACATGTAAATATGTCAGTCAGCTTATGAATCCTTTTTAATTTTTTAATTAAGAGATGACCAGAACAGGGCAGCACTGAATAAAAAGTGTAAATCATTAGCATTTTCATGATTTACTGTATATAAATATATATATATATTTGTATTTTTCACCCACCCAGATCAGAGCTTATATCTGGGTGGGTGGTCCACCATAGTTGCTTTTGGGACACTGTTCATGCTCGAAAGCCTAGGAAGTGCCACCAGGGTCAGAGAATAATCTATGGATTATTGTGAAATAAATTACTTCCAAG